TATTCTAGAAATCCCCCAAAGAGACTTCGTTCTCCCAACCACAAGAATCAGACACGGATTATTCGGTATGTCCACGCTTTTGCTGCTTTGTTGCAGAACTTACCATGGATGCTACCAACAGTTATCTACCAACATCTATCTACCGCGTAGCGCCAACCACAGGGCCTCAAAAGGGATGGTAATAATAGGCCTTGCCCAAATCCCTCCTTACACCAAAATATCTAGGGTCCGAATACAACCGCTCTGTTCAAGGGTTTCGAAACAACCACTTGCTCAAGATTTTACTTCCAAGGGGAGCACGTTCCATTAATTAATTCAATTTGAACATAAATTTATCTCATAACAATAGTCATGTGATCGAAACTCCATTAGCCACCTCATTAAGTTTTCCGTTGAGATTAACATTTTAAGTTGGTTAGTACAAGCAAGTAACAAAGGAATAAATTTACATAGATGTAAGCATCATCGAAGGACTAAAATAAAAGGTTTACATCCATGACATATGTAATATCATACCAAGACATGATTATATATTAAGAAGCATATTCATGAATACAAGAGCATAAAATACCAATGCCAAACAAAATTTCCAAATTCAGTACTACTTAAAGATTAAAATCAAAAGGGCTATTTCAAATTTTTCCTGAACTCGACCTTCCTATGGTTCGTAGATAATTTAATCTAGTTTTCAGAAGATGTTTCGGAAATGGAATAGCTTATCTAGATTTTTGGTTATTTAAGAAACACTCCAGCGGTGTCCAGAGTCATGAACCGTTACGAAAATCGGATTTTCTTACAAACCACTCACTCTTTTTCAATGAAACCAATTTTCATTGAAAGATAACTCCTTAAGTAAGATTTTTGGCATAAAATCGAGATCCATAAAATTTTTCTACATTTTTCTAGAATTTTTGAAAGTTGGCTGTAAAATAGATTTTTCATGCACAATACTCAAAATAAGAAGATTGGTGAGAAAAGAGGTCAATTAAGGGAAATTTTTCACTTCTTTTGTAATGAAAACATACTAAATAATGTAATAATAACTCAAATTTTTATAGTGGTGGTATGCCATTAAAAAAATGTGAGATATGAGAAGAAAAAGGTACTTTTGCATCTATTAAGAGGAAATATGAATAGAAGAATAATCAAAGCCCAATTCATCAACTTTGAACACTTGAATACCATTACAACACATCTGAAAATATTATATTAAACCTCTAATAATATGTATTTGAAAAAGGAAAATGAAAGAGAGAGTTGTATTATGACATACTTGAGGCTTGGTTGATTAACTAGCATGACCTTCTCTTTTTTTCCTTTCTGCCACCAAGCTCACTCTCTTCCCTTCTCTTCCCTTCTCTCCCTCTTAGCCGAATGGGTGTTTGTGTATATATTCTTGTCTGAAAAATGATAAGGGAGTGGTTGTTTTTAGGGCAAATTACATAAATAGTCCCTATAGTTTGGAGTTTGTGTCACTTTGGTCCCTGACTTTTCAATTGTGACACATTTGACCCTGAATTTTGAATCTTGTTCCAAATAAGGACAATTGAAGATATCATTAGATTTTTCAAGTGTAAAATTGTCAATTTGATAAAATATAACCTAATTTGATAAAAATAAATGTCAAACAAATATTTTTGAATTTTTAAAAATTATTTCTACCTACTAAAAATAAAATTATGTAAAATTGATAAATCTTTTAGACATTTATTTTTTTTACCAAATTAATTTTTATTATTTGTTTGGATGATGATCATGTAAAATTAATTTTAAAAAATTAATCATGTAATTTTTATTAATTTTATATAATTTTATCATTGGTGGATAAAATTAATTTTTAAAAACTTAAAAATATTTTTTTAACATTTATTTTTGTCAAATTAGTTTATATTTTATCAAATTGACAATTTCACCCTTGAAAAATCTAATGATATTTTCAATTGTCCTTATTTGGATCAAGATTCAAAATTCATGATCAAATGTGTCACAATTGAAAAATCAGGCACCAAAGTGATACAAGTCTCAAAATATAGGGACTATTAGTGTAATTAACCCTATTTTTTTTCATTTGGAAAATTAGTTTTTAACTACTGGTGAAATTACAATTCTACCTTTCATGAGTCAAAATGTACTACATGAGTGAAGTTGTAAATATTTTAAATTAATGGGAATAGTTTGGTCATTTTATTGTAATTTGATATCATAAATAGATATTAATAAAAAAAAGCCAAAAATAACTTTTTATCAATTTTCTGAATTATGTCTAAAAAAGTAAAAAAATTTGATTAAAAATCAAAAAATCGCTTTTTACCATCTTTTCAAAATAGGGCAAACTGGTATAGCTTTATTCTCATCATCAAATTGGTAACTTAGGATTGTTTTGAAAAGTTGGTAAAAAATTAACTTTTTGTTTTTTTAGAAGTGATTTGGGAAGTTGATAAAAAGCTAACTTTTTACTTTTTAGTTTAATATTTATTTATAGTGTCAAATCAAATTAAAATGATCAGAATACCTTTACCCAACATAAGAGATTTATTTTTTTATTTTTTTTTATGATCCCTAATTTATAATTTTAAAACTGCATTTTTAACACTTTTTAAAAAAATTTTGTTGCGTTTTTAACGGACACGTTTTTAGACATTTTGTTTAAAAATATGACTTTTTACTATTTCTCATCATCAGCGACATGTTCTTGTCTTGTGTTGGACAATTTTTTACAACAAAAAGATGAAACAGAAAATATAAAAAAATATAATACATAAACATAAATTACAAAAACTGTTCGTTTGTAATATATCAACATCAACATAAATTCATTTTCTGTTTTCTTTTTTTCCCTCAGTTACTCCACCATTCCAGATCTGGATGGCTGGGTCGTAACGGCGATGGCGAGAGGTGATGAATGGCGATGGCGATGGCGATGGACTGAGAATCATCTCCGGTGCTCTTTCGTTTTTCGAATCCAAAAGTCGTTCTTCGTGCGAAGCTATATCACCGACGAACTTGAATGGTCTACACTCCGAGGGGAGAGAGGGCGACTGGGAAAGGTTGCCTTTGGACGAAGAAGGGGGTTGGGGAGGGAAATTGGTGGTCGGCGTTATTTTAACCCAATCCTCTTCCCAGACACATAAAAGAAAGAAAGGAAAAAAAAATTTGAGTTTCTTCCACAGCAACTACCAGAAAACTCCCTGTAAAGCATTCATCAGAGAGAGAGAGAGATGGAGAACCAGATTAAACATTTCATCCATGAACATCCGTTGAGAATGGAGAAAGGTATCATCGATGATTGGCGGTACTTCTGCTTGTTATGCCACAAAGACATCGCTTCACCAATGTATTCGTGTTGCAATGAATTTTGCTTGAGAAAGGCGTACATGCACAAATCATGCGCTCAATTCCCACAAGTGATGCTACATCCCTTTCACCCACACCCTCTCACCCTCCTCATCAGGCCCCGAAATGAATTTGAGAACTTCGACTGCGATGCCTGTTGGAGGAGTGGTCAGACCCATAGTAACTACCACTGTTTCGAGTGTGACTTTAACCTCGACATTTGTTGTGCTTCACTAATGCCTGCCAAAACCCCAGTCCAGCACAAGAATCAATCCCAAATTCAACATCATATACTACGTCACCCACATCCCTTGATTGTCTGCGACAACAACAAGGATACGATTTTATTTAATTTTACCTGTTCTTTCTGCAAGCTACCCATCAATGGAAGTCGAATCTATGTTTGCCTTGACTGCAAGTGTTTGTTCGACGAATCATGTGCCGAGTGGCCTTCACAGATCCAACATCCTTTCCACCGACAACACCCACTCACCCTGCTTGACCAACGTCACAATACGTTTTCGAGGCAGTGTAGAGCTTGTGGGAAGGTGCTCAAGAAGGGCATTCTCTTCAAATGTGATGAGTGTCGTGTTAGAAATGACCAATGTGTGGATTCGAGTCGGTGCAGCGCTTGTGAGAAGTGGCTGAGGGAGGGCTTTTCCTTCAACTGTTCTGACTGTAATTTCAGCCTGGACCCATTGTGCGCTTCGTTGATACCATTGCTGTCGTCTACCCAAAATTCTCAAGGCAGCAGCAGGGAAGATGAGTTCCAGATTCAAAAGTTAAGCCACCCCCACCCTTTGATTCTTTGTGAGAAGAAAAAGGATTGTCGCATATCTTGCGATGCTTGCCAGCTTCACTTTGAGGATGATGATTCTATTGTCTACATCAGTCTTGAATGCAAGTTTTTGCTGCACAAATCTTGTGCTGATTTGCCTTTGCAGGTAAAACGCTCATTTTGCCACCACCAACACACACTCACCCTGCTCCAATATTCACTTGGTCAGTTGTACGAGAATATTGGCAATACAAATGGATTCAGCGGTAAATTTAAGTGCCATGCGTGTCAAGTATATGCTTCAGGCTTTGCCTATGTATGTACCAAGTGCGCAATCTTCTTTGACATTAGATGCCCAATTTCCAAACCCTTCCTCATCAGCTCTCAACTTCACCACCAGCACCCTCTTGCTTTCTTCGCTGCCATACCCTATGTGCTCTATTGCAACGCTTGCAAGCGGCGAATCTGCACCTATTTTTTCCGCTGTGTGGAGTGCGAATTCAATCTCCATGTCAGTTGTGTAACTACATTGCCACCAACTGTCAAAGATAAACATCATATACATCCCCTCACTCTCACCAATTCTCCCATCAAAGACCATCCAGATGAAAATGAATACTCGGAGTTCTACTGCGATTCTTGTGAGAAAAGAAGGGAGTTATATGATCCTACCTACTATTGTGAAGAATGCCACTACGTTGCTCATGTTCAGTGCCAGCTCTCTGAGGTATGTATGCACTTCCAGTATTTTTACCTGAATAGATTTTCTTTTTCGAGAGAGAGAGAGAGCTAAGTAGAACTACTTGGTGGGTTTCAGGAGTCTAGGTGACTTCAAATTTGTAATTATTGCAATACTAGTGCCTAAATCATATTGCCCACAGTTTAGATCTTGTTGGGATTCCAAATTCTTCAATTTGTATTGTTTAGTTCTCTCTGGGTTCAGAAGCTCTTTTTAACATGATTGAACCAAAGCTCTTTATCATCAAGTTGACCTTCATTATTCCTTACTGCTGGGAAGAAGACCAAGAGACTTCCAAATGTTTTAAAACATAAGTTATAGTCTATTGAGATTGTGAGTAAGAGGAAGGCTTAATGATAAGTTATAGTTCTAACGGGTTCGGTTATATAATCCATTCTTCATCGTACACCCCCCCCCCCCAAAAAAAAAAAAAATCCCATGCTAGTTTTGTTGTGAAAAATAACTTAAAATATTTTTTTTAAATGGTACAATGGTCCTCCCGTAGCAGCCAATGTTGTCTTCTCATTTGAGGAAGGAAACACGTTTAAAAAAAAATTATGTTTTGGGGTTTTCATCAAACTAAAACCACAATCAACATGTAATAAAGAGCAACAGGGGAAAAATAATCCTAGAGATAATAGTAGTGGTAACATTTTAAGCTTATACTTTGCCAAAACATCAGATAAGGAAGTCCAAATATTCCCCAGCAAGATAGATAAAATTTTTGTTCCAATTCTTTCTCATTGTCCTTTCTTTTTCTTTTTCTTTTTTGTTTGCTAATGTCTTATACTATTATTTGTTTTTTTGGTTGCTCCATAGATATTTCCTATACTAGAGGAGCAATTCTTGCCTTGCAAACTTAGTGAGACAAAATTGGAGATGCCAGCAAGTGTGTGTGAAGATGGTACTGGTATAGGGGCTTGCAAGGATTTGATGATAGAAGAGATCTTGGGGAAAGAGCGTGACAAGATGGAGGATGAAAAGCGTTTTCGCGGACCATATAGAGAGGTTTTTTCAGATGTTTCTACAGACGATGAAACGGAAGGGGTAAGAACTGCTGAACAATCTTCTCTCACTGAACTAGATGAGGTAGAGTGGCTAACTACAAGATTAAAGGCAACAAAGAAAAGATTGAAAGAACTAGAGGAGAGGCGTGCTCGGTATGTTGCATCTCTACCGCTCAATTCTGGGGATAATGAGTGAATGTTTAGTGAAGCACTGATTTGGAAGAGCAACACATCAGCAATTAGCATCAGCCCTGACACACAGAAACACACAGAAAATCCCCCTATATATATAATGCTATAATTTTAAGGCAATAACTTGTTTGGTGTCTCAACTACGTCAGTTATTTAGTATATTTAAATTATCTTATGCTTAAACATCTTTAGATTTTATTATGTAATGGTAAAACTTTAAAACTGTTTATCTAAAGAGCAATGTTAGGTACCATGAAAAAACTTTCATGAAAATGATCATGAAAGATTTATGATCTTTGGATTACACTTGAAATAAAGCACCACACACTAATCAAGGTAATCCAAGAGTCATAAATCTTTCATGATCATATTCATGAAAGTTTTTTCATGATCCCTAGTTTTTCTCTTATCTAAATGAGTGTTGCTATTTATTACCTTCTCTGACTCTCGAAAACTGCGCTGCACCTGTTCCATTTTTGAGTTGATTTTCGTAGAGGCTGGCTTGGGTTGCTTTAGTTTGGTCAAACAGAATTTGATGTTAGCTGTAATTTCAATCTATGAACGAACAAGTTTCCCATCCAATTGAGAAAATAGTCGGCACATGGAAAGCTCCAGATTCCAGCATGTATATATGGTCATTTTTTTGTGTTAGTTGTAATTTCAATCTATGAACGAAACAATTTTCCCAAATTTTTTGATGGACCAAATTTAGAAGGAAAATTCTTTGCTACTAAAATTTTCATACAAATTCACTTAATTAGAATGATGTGGTAGTAAATTTTGTTGAAATTTAGAATCATCTTGGGGGGGGGGGTGTTTAAATGATAATTTGAGAATTCAACTATATCGTTATGTATGTATTTTTTTATTTGTATATCATTACTCAATTTAAAAATGAAGTTGTAAGGATTGGAGTTAATTGTTAGGGACTTTGAAAGAAGATAACTGCTTTGGTGTCTAAAAGATTTTGGAATGTAGTGGAGATAGATCACGTGGAGGAACTAAATTCTTGTATTAATAATTGTTTGGTCTTGAAATATATGGTTTTTGTTAGGTTTTGCATTTATTAGAGGAAGAGGAGTCGTTGGTTTGCTATGAACTTGAGGACACAATGTTGGACATTCAAGTGATGTTTTTGAAGGGAATCCTGATGTAAGTGGTTGACAATTACAGTGGTAGAAGAGATGGAAGCAACAGAGAACCACGTGTGAGAGAGTAATACATCAGCAAATGAACATGAAATTAAGAATGCTTAGACCAGGATGAATCTTTAGGTGTTGCAATAGACAATGAAGTCATGGAAATAAGGGATTCTTCCATGGCGGCAAGCAAAAATATGGGGGCAAAGAGTAAATGGAAACAGTTCGCTTGCACTTACCCAAAAAAAAAGGAAACATTTTGCTTGTTGAACTAGATGATTAAATTATAACACTGCGAAAAGTAAAACAGGTACTACAAATGAAATTTGAAATGCTCCATATAGAGAAAGAGATAGTAACGGAAAGACTAAATGCAACAAGAACAAAATTAAAAACACTTGAAAATATGAGCATGTTAAAATTTGCAGGTATCCATAGAAGTTTAACCTTTTAGAAAGTGTTACTGGAATAAATCAAATGGATGATGCTCTGTTTAATTCATGGATTTGGAAAGGGCAAATAAAAGAGCAAATGCAAAGGAAATTATTGTTCTTTGTTTGGTTAACATGGAAAGCAATGAACAATAAGAACTAATTCCAATGACACTGGGAACAATTTTAATGTATGTTGCTCTACCAGCAACCTACCCGTTGAGGGTTCAATCTATGGTAGTATCCTGTGCCAGTGCAAATTGTTTGACCAATTAAGCCAAAAAGATCATAGAGCTTACACGTGAACACCACAGCTCAAGATTAGATCTTGGTTTGGATTGAGACCTGACTCGAGCTCTCTGTTCTACTTCATGGCCAAAAAACTAACACCCAATTGTTTCCGTAGTGAGAGGACTCCTCTTTCTTATTTACTGTACATTTGTGAACCACAGCCGAGATAATACATAAAACTATCAAACAGAAATTATTTCTAACGTAAAAATAATTGACATACAAATAACGAAGAGATGACATTTTGATATTGAATATTTTCAAGTTAAGTGCTCAATGTCCCTAATTGGACATTTTCTCTCTCTAATGAAATCCAATTCCTGAATTTGGTTAATCATTTTGGTATCAGAGCTTTGGATCGAGTCCTAGTTCTTCCAAATTGGAGTTGATTCTTCAACTGTAGTTGAAGTTCAGTCCTAATTGCAGTTGAATTGCACTTGAGTTCCACTTTACAAAGCCCTTTTGCATGAGATATCCTGATTACTGAAACCCTAGCACCTTGAAATCCCAACACAAACTGGAATTTTAAGCTTTACAACAGCTTTGAGCTTCACGGCTTTGCTTCAAAGCTGAATTTGAATCTGTTCTTTGTAACCTTAGATCTACAATGATTTCATGTCCTATAACCTCTGATTCGAGTTGTTAGAGTGTCCTATGGAGTGCACTAGTTGTTCACAAGTCAATCACAACTGGGTTTTTTTTGTTTGAAAACTTTGCACTCTAATTCGATTCAGCCTCCATAGGCTTCACACCGCATTCAAACAGAATTTGAGTTCCAAATTGCTATATTCAAAATCCCAATTGAGTTATGAACAGATCACCCAAGTTAAACTCCTAACTCAATCCGAAACAATCCAAAACCCTAGCTTAGAGTTGTGGCTCACAGTTGGAGTTGATTTGTCTCAAGTTGATTAACCTTTCACGATACTAGTAACTGGCTATCAGACTGAGTTCATTGCATTAGTTCTCAATCACAGTTATCGATCTGGATCTTGCTCGAATCCATTGAGCGTTGCCCTTTGAGTTCCCTTGATTGTTCGAAGCTGAATGAGGTACATCAACTTCAGAGTGTAGAGATTCATTTACACAGACCTTGCAAGTATTGTGACTTCGAGCTACACATTGACAACATCGATTTTTGAACCTCAACTTCAGCTTGAGTTCTGGTTCGAATTTGGCTCTAGTTCATACTGACTGCCTTGAGTTTTTCAGATCCAGATTCACAAATTGTTTTGACATCGATATTTCTTTGCTCATTCAGTATTTCAAAAGTATCCTTCTGCACTTTTAGCTGGACTACGCATTTTGGACTGATTTTCATTGTTGTGTGACTGAATGCTGATTTATTATGATTTAGATTAAGGGAATTGATTTGGAGCCTTAAAAAAAAACCCTCCTAATCCCTAAAACGACGTCGTTTTGGAAAATTTTATTTTATTTTATTTTTTTGCCTTGGCCTCAATTTTCGAAGGATTAGGACTCCCCAAATTAGGGGATGTAGCACGGCCCTTAGATTAATGGCTTAAAGGAGGCCAACAAAGTGGACATAGCCTCCGTTTGGGAAGTAGGTTGACTTTTTGACTTTTTTAGCTATTTTAGCCTGTGTTAAAAAGCTTGGTTTGGAAAGGGCTTTTTGGTTTTTTGGCTTTTTGGCTTTTTTGACTTTTTTTGTGAGAGAAGAGTGTAATAATTATGGGTTGGATGTGATGTTTTATTTTTTGTGGCTAAAATAGCCTATTTTGTCTTTTGTGGCTAAAATAGCCAAAAAAGCCCAGAAAAGCCCTTCCCAAACGGACCCATAGTAGGGTTTATCTTGCAAATTTGGAAGACGACTTTGGGATGAATCTTCAATTGGATGAATGAATGACAAAACATAACCTAAAGAAGCATGGACAAGGATACGGACACATAACACGACACAGACACACCAACACGTTAACTTTCAAAAAAATGTAGAATTTACACATGAGGGACACACATGAAATATATAATTTTATATATTTATTATATATATTATATATATATATATATATGAATATATCATTCAAAGATAATAAAAAATACAATACGATACCAATTCCTATAAATTTATATTGTTTTTGTTTTATTATTGTATCTTAAGTTGTTTTGTTCAAACTTATAATTAGTTTCACATGTGTCTAATCGATAGATATGTGTGTTTAAGTGATTGACACATGTGTCCTCCAAGTGTCCAAAGAGTGTCTGAGTCTTTGAAAAAAATTTAAAAAATAGGACATGTTTTGAAAAGTGACAGACACGTGTCCAAAGACTGTTGGTGTCCGACGCGGACACGACACAGATACGTCACTTTCTTAGTAGTGTCCGTGCTTCTTAAAACAGAACCAAAGGAATGAGATTAACGAGTTTAGTCAACAACTTGCTACCTTGATTGGAAGAGTGAAAAGCTTGCAAACTGCTTTTCGAAGGTAGTCTTGGTTCCAAGGATCATCAACTTGATGATTCCTTCAATGCTACACATTGGCGTAGAGCACGTTCCCATGGAATTGAATCTAAATAGGGAAACATCATCAATGATTTTGTGCTTCCCAAATTTCTTTGATTGGAACGAGTGCAAAGCTTGCAACCTCTTTCAAGGGTAGTCTTGGTTCTAAGGTCATCAAACAAATCAAAAGAAAACCAAAAAATTCTTGAAAATTTATCAATGAATAAAGAAAACAGAAAAGAAATGAAAGACAAGAATACAAAAAAGAATTAATAAGTAAACAAATTATAAAACAACACTGATAAATTTGCAGCAATTCATTTCATACAAAAAAAGGGGAAAAAAACAGCAATTCATTTCATACAAATAAAGGGAAAAAAAAAGGAAAAGAAATTGATAGGAAGGCAACTATATAAATTTCAATACTATTGATTGATTCAAATAAAGAAATTGGAAAAACAAACACAATATAAAAAAGTCAACTAGAAACTATAATTTTTAATGCAAAGAAACCTAAGAAACTTTAGTTTCAATAGAGACTACGGCAAAGAGATGTCAATTTGTTTTTTAACCTCAAGCAATAGCTATGAATTATGTTCTCAAGATTTCTTGGCATACAACCACCCCAAAAGATGGCAGGAAAATCAAGCAATAAAAATATATTTATCAAAAAAAAATCAAATAATTAGAGAGAATTTATTGAAAACAAAGAAATTATTAAACAAAGAGCTGTAAGACAAGAATAAGAACTATAAAAACCAAACATTATAAAAATAATTACCAATTAACCAAATTATAAAACTATAACTGATAAATTTATTACTGTTCATATGTCATATAATTAAGGAAATCAAGAAA